ACAGACCGACACTCACCCCTCTGCCGCTGTGACTCAGTCTCTGCTCGTTCACAGGAAGATCTGTGTCTTCGTAGAGCAAACGTTTGACCTCTTCAACAGACGTGGTCGGAGGGACCTGGTAGGACCTGACACCCATGTACTCATGACGCACCGTCACCCGCGGCAACCTGACAATGTGGAGACACAAAAATAAATGTTGGGAAAACTCCTGGTCCTTTTGTCAAATTCTCAGGCCAGATTTAGACGTCGTTGTCGTCGTCGTCTTCATCCAACTCCTGATCAAAATTATAACTTTGATTTTAACCAATATTTTATGGAGAAACCGAAGAAAAAGTCCATTGAAGCTAAACCTGTTTTAGGAATGTTGCTTCTACAGACGCAGCTGAACCGACCTGACGCCACAGTATTGGATTCAGACACTTGATATCGTTATCATCTCCCAGCATGCAATTTTAAAGTAAAACTCTATAAAACGTTAAGTTAAAAGTTAGTACTAGCTGAGGTGACGTGTACTGTGTACAGTGTGTACGACTGTACTCGTCATCTTCACTCACAGACCTTGACATTACATTCACTGTTAATGTAGCGCTAACGGTCACTACACGCTAGCTAGCAGCTATCATCTTCAGCGTACAGTCGTTCTATTGATTGAGGATCAGGTTTGGAGGGAACAGAAGAACAGACACCTTGCTGCGTCCATCTGTTCGTGGTCTCAGATCACAGCTACGTATCTGTTCTATTGAGTGGAGTTTTTAACATAAATGATGAAGCACAAATGTGACGTGAGTGAGTGGTTGATCTGTTGTCTTGATGTGGGTCGAGGGTGTGGGTCGATGCAGGAACACTGACGCGTCATTACCTGCTGATGTCGACGTAGCATCACTGACCAACACATGGCCAGAACAAAAAAAAACAAAATAAAAAAAACACGCACCGCCATTTACAGCACGTGTGTTTAACGAACGTTAAAGATTTTCAGATTCAGTACAACGGTAGAAAATGGAAGCAAAAAAAAAGGAAAATAATGAAAATTTAGTGAGAATGTTGTAATGATCAAAATAACCAGGATTATAGCAAAAAATGTTCAGATATTTTTGGTTTCCAATTGTATAAGATGGACTAGTGTCGATGTCTAATGTTTTCTACTGGTCAGAATATCTGCCCAGTCCTTCATCCATCATTTGCAAAAGAGAGGAAAAAACTACACAATAATTACAGGATAGCGCTTCGCTAACAAATACAGGATATCCTTCCTGTGACCAGTTTTAATGACAGAGTTATCCTGCGTACTGTACCTTTAAGGACATACACACATCCATATATGGTATACAACTAAGAAACTTACAGATTTTTGAGGCCAATCATAATTTGATTAGGTTTAGTAGCCAATCTCTACATCCTACAATCAGGCAGCGCTAAAACCACTGAGACAAGGATACTCACAGTATTTAAAAACTGAAGTGACTCAAGCGAATCGAAATTCCTTACGCACCACTAGAGGGAGCCCAAGTTGCATTCAAAGCATAAACTCCAGTGTACCACCGGTGGTACACGTCCTATATTTTGAGAACCACCGCCGTTTACTACAGAAATAAACAGTTGGCATTTATCACGAGTGTTCATTTGACGACGTGCTATGATCCCGTTAGCGCCCCCTGCCGTGGAGTGATGCCACTGGACTCTCCACAAACACACACCACACTTACATTTTGACCACTTCCATTCAAAGCGGACATTAAACTCACCACGGGTCCGGAGTGGAGGCCATGTCGCTGCCCCAGCAGAGATTCACGGCACTATCTGTGGCACAGGGCGCGGGGATACTCCACCCACAGAGCGGCTGTGGGGAGACAAGAACATCGTTACTTTCCTGGGGGGGAAAAAACAAAAAAACACCTGCCTAAAAATAAACATCTCCCCACGAAGAGTGACGTATAGATCACACTGTCATCAATACAGTTAACATGTGGCAACGCGTCTACGATACGATAACACCGCTGCCGGGTCTTTTTAAATCGCCCAGTCTTACTGTTTATTCCGCTATTCCTTCGACCCCCCCCTCACCTCCTCCCATCCTCCCCACTCACTCACTCACATGTACGGTTCCAGTGCGCGTCGTGGCCGGTCCCCCCACGAAGACGATACATCTCACATCAGGTTATTGTCCCTGTTAACAACAACATCAACAACAATCACGGGTGACACCACCTTTCCGTGAAAACCACACAGCGACTCCTTCAAAGGCGATGTTCTAATTATAATGAATTACACTTGCGCTGGAGAGCAGCAACTGCGGCGGAGAGACGAGAGGGTTCACCCCTGGTTACTTCCGGGTTGTCGGAAATCTGGCCCGGCTGTTTCCACAGTCAAAACGATCGTGTAAAACTGGGTTTTAATCAATCGTGAAGGCGGAATAACTGTTAAAAGGACACGGTATGTTAAGAACTAGGTTGTTGTTGTTATTAAAGCTATACTGTCAAATACTGTACGTGAATAATCAGTACAACAACCTAAAACAAACTATTAATAGCGGTGTTTATTACGATGACCACGGGCTTTTGCCAATGCATGATGGGACATGTAGTCATCAACCAAGACCTAAACCATGATTAAAGGGCCAGCACACTGTCTGAGATGACGAACGTCAACTTTGAAGAGAAGATGCTGAGGCTGATGTGAGGGCCTGTGACCTGACACACACACACACACACACACACACTGCTGTAAACGTGACATCATTCACTCGTCATCCAGAATACAACTAAACACGCTGTTGTGTGGAGTGTTTTGGTTGGGATCTTATTCCTCTGTTCACCTCCTTCTGGACCAAATCCAGTTCGACTACATAAAAAAAAAAGAAAAAAAAACGTCTTGAGAAGTTACCATATTTGTCGGGTTATAAAGCAGCTCACATTTCCTCAGGGCAGTATGTAAATGCCGCATTGAAGAGAGAGAGACAGAGAAAGAGAGAGAGACAGAGAAAGAGAGAGAGAGAGAGGGATTAACTTACAGAGAGAAATGATGAATCTGCAGCAGCATCAGCAGCAACGTGAGTGCAGCAGCATCTGTCCCGTCCGCTGCACCACAGCCCGTTAGATGACCGCATCAACGACAACACTGACCGTCATGAACGCAACATTAAAGAAGGAGAAGAAAAAGAAGAGGGAGGAGGAGGAGGAGAATAAGAAGAAGAAGAAGAAGAAAAAGAAGAAGAAGAAGAAGAGACGGATCTCCGTTCAGATCAACCTCGTCTCAGTGGACCGCTGCCTCCACCTCACGGGTCTCTGTTAAAGACAGAGCAGATGATGGTCCTGATGCTGGGACATGCCCCCTACAGGACAGCCTGGCTCAGAGGACAGAACAAATATACAATAAAACAGAACAGAATAGAAAAGAAAAGAACAAACTACAAACTAAAATACTGAAAATAACATTTACTTGGTTAGTTACTAACCTAGTTGGATAGATAGATTATTTTTAAATAACTAAAATCTAAATCGTTTGTGGCTCTACACTGGTTTAAGTTTGTTCTAAGTGGGCACTTGGCAATAGCAGCAAAGCGACAGTAGATGGCAGCAAAGCAAAACATTCTAATTAATGCCCGTGTTTACGAGACAGCGAGTTCGAGTGCAGTGTCCGCAGCTGACCGCTAGATGTCTTCACAAATCACATTTTACACAGAACAAACTCACGCCGTCACATCGGCCCCGTCGTCGTTATCGTGTTTGCTACGGAATCTACAAACAAATTAATATAAAAACAAACGTAACAAAAACCCGCAGCGATAATCGTAAAAAATCTCAGAACCGTTGGGGAACAATAAACCGTTTGTTGTTTTTTAGGCATACGATTCAGGAAGCGGCTGAATCGATGTAATTACACAACATATTTTATTAAAGCTAATTACTTCTTCAAAGCAGTGACAGATTTTTGGGAATTTATATAAAACAAGTCCAGACGAGTTCAGTAATTGGCCACTGTTGCTGCACAGCTAAACTTTTGTCCTGCGCGTGCGTCTCTGCCATTGTTCACACACGGACGTGCACGCGCGCACGGAGTGTACGGAAAAGTGCTTTTTTTTAAAAAGTTGTGTCAACACAACTTATTTATACAGTGATTTATTCACGATGTTGATTGATCCGAGTTTCACGGTGACCTTTTTACTAAAACGATGTTATTTAAAGAGACTCGTGTCGGTTGATGAAGTTCACAGACCGTTTTTACAAATAAACGATCCTTTGTGTTTGGTCGTATTATATTTTGGTCAAAACGATATCAATATCGTATCGTGAGTGTTTGGTTACGTCAAACACAGAGATACAGGGACATCCTGTCAGACTGAACAGACTGGAGAATAGAACCGACAACCTCGGGGACGATGACGTGCAGATCGACAGATAAAATATTAAAACTCCTCGACAACAAGAGCTGAAAAAAACCCTGTGAACACGAAGTCAAAGTCAGTTCATCCATTAAAAAACTAACGACCGGTCTGAAAACACAGACATATCTGAGAGAATAATAATAATAATAATAATAATGATCAATATTAATATTATTACAACTGTCATCGCAATTGGAAGATTCAGTAACTTTTTAATTTTTTTTTTTTTTTGTTTGTCGCCAGAAAAAGAAAAGGAAAACAAAAACCAACTCCTTTTCCCCGAGAGGACTGACTTTATAATTAGCTGGGCCCCTCCCTCCCCCGCCCTGTCTCCCTCTCTGTGTATCCACTGCTGCTGTTACAGTTGAGGTTGAAGCAGCAGCAGCGCTGACATGCTGATCAGACCGGTGCAAGAAACGCAGCAGTCCCACAACCAGTACCAGTCCCAGTACTAGTACCAGGACCAGGACCTGAACCTGGACCAGGACCTGACCCAGGACCAGCCCCGGGACTAGATCCTCCAGCCGTTCTCTACTTTCGACTCTTTCGACCGAACTCACACTTTAATGACTTTTCCTGTGTTGAACCAGGTAAGAAAACCTCCTGTTCTGATCCAGTTCTAACAGACCGCGGAGTTCGTCTGTGTTTGTTCCGACAGAAGAACGGAGCAAAACAAAAAAGGAACATTTCAACTTTTACACTCGGGGTTTTTGATGCGCGTCCTGCCAAACAGTTCACGACTCAAACTCAGAGTCTCGTTCACGCGCATTCACGTCTTAAAAACGGACTATGTTTGTAAATGACCACAGCCGTGAGGACAGCGGGACAGACGGGACTTCCGGTCGCAGCCACTGATGACATGTTATTCCAGAAGCATCACTGGCTGCAGATCAAACGACCGACATGACCTCCTGACTTCTGACCCCTGACCTGCCGTGAATAAAAACAGTCATAACTGAACTGGAAAGACTTTTCTCTAAGATGGAAATATATGAACAGCCAATGAGACGGAGGCAGTTCTACTTCAAATGTTTCTTCATTAAAATCAGGACTTTTTTTTTTTTTTACAGATTTTTCTCTGGGAATCGAATTGAACCAAATCTCTAATTCTTTACACTTTATATATTTATTCATTTCTATTCAGTTGTACTTGTTTGGTCTCTGTGTGATGTCACGGCTTCATCACCAAGTTAAGGTTTTAACTGGAGTTTGTGTCACAGAGTTTAGATCATCATCACGTTCCTGTTTTACAGTCTCACATTGTTTTTTTGAAATGTAAATATTTGTAAAATCACGAGTATTCTTTCAAATATTACTGTACATAGATTTAAATCGTCAAAGGAATCAAAGTTTTCAGTTTGATTTTCGTCTTTTTGTGTCGTTGTCTCTGCGGCTGCAGCACCCAGAGGCCCAGCAACATGTGGCGGACGCTCCAACACACCTTCTGTCTGTTACTGACCGTTCACCTCATTTACTCAACTCTGGTGAGTCACCGTCACTCAAGGATTTAATTTTAATTTTTCATGTTTTTGAGAAAATTAAAAAAAAAAAATCTGTAAACCCAAATCTGCAGAAAAACATTTCATTTTTTTCATGAGATGTTCCCAAAGGGTGGGTCGGGGCCTAAGGAAAGGTCATGAAGACGTTTCAGTGTTTAGTGTGAATATTTGTAAACACTGTCGTCGTGAAATTCCATCGAAGGGTTAATCATTAGAAAAGGAATTTCTTTGTTAATCATTCACAGTGGACAGTGGAAATGACGCCTGCTGTTATCAATGAGCGGTCGGGGGGGTCGGGGTGGGGGGGTAAAAATCTGATTCAGTCAATCAGAGATGAGTGATAACATTTCTGTTCCCTCCGTCTCCCACGCTCTGCCACTGCACGGCTCTGGGATTTAAACCAACGTCTCCCGGTGACAGTTCTGTCCTGGACGAACGTGTTTCACTCTGAGATTCCAGTCTGTGGTCGTGATGATCCATGTATCGTTGTTGTTGTTTTTAAGGTCTCATAAATGTTTACTCT